ATGCATATTGCATTGGCTTTATTTGTTCTACATAATTGTCTTCATTTAAGTTCAAAAACAGAAAGTGAAAGCTTTTCTACATACACTCTTTTCTGCTTGGGGCAAAAAACATCAGTAATATATATTCACAAAATTGTTAGAAAGGCTGTCCGCACATACCAGGGTCCGCAGTCTGAGTTGTTGTGCGTCATTGTGAGGTAATTAGGGGTCTCTGAAAAATCTGCCTCTACTGCCTCTTCCCTGCCTACAACGCTTTATTTGTTCTGATGAGGAGTTGCTTATCTTTGTAATTGCACTGTATAGCTTTCGTGTGTTGCCATTAAGCTTTATAATATTGCTTAACGACTCCACTTCCATTCCACCCACTCTCTTCAAATCCATTTTTAGACAAAACCTTCACATCTTTAAGCGAACGCCAGCATAACAGAATGAAGCGGGATGAGGAGGACAGAAAATGCCAAGAAATTAAAAAGAAGAACTCTGGATAACTTTTATGGCAAATATTAATAGAGGAATTCTCCTCTCCAAGGAAACTGCTGTGTCAGAGACCTTTTAAAACTCAAAATTGCTTGAAAATTAAACTATATAATCACTAGAGCAGATCATTTGATAATAACAATTACTATAATCATTTACATTTCTATAAAGACACAAACTTGCTTAAAATATGTATGCATGTGTTACTTTCATATTATATTCAATTGCACCATATAAATATATATAAATGTATTTATAAATATTATTTAGTGTGTGTTTGTTTGATGGAATTTTATAATAATAATTATATTTATAAAAATATATATTGTATTTCATAATCATTTACATTTACATATAGACTTTTAAAAACAAACTTGCTTAAACATCAAACTGAAAGAATCACTTGCTCATATAGAATTTTATAATAATAATTCTATATATGTACACACACACACACACACACACACACACACAGACTTATAAATACATTTACATATATTTATAGCCGTTAAACATAATATGAAAGTAACATACATATATAAAATTATATAATAGGAACATTTTATATTGTAAATATTAATGTGTGATTGTTTATAAATAATATATAAGTTTCCCTCCCATCAAATGCATTAAATTAATAATCAACAACAGGTTCTTTGACCAACCAACTCCTATGGACGGGGGAGAAGTTACATAAGAACACCTGTCTTGTATAGTCTGTGGCGTATTCATTACCTTAAATAAACACTTTGAGTAAAACAGTAGTGTAATGTTTTAAATGTTCAGTTCATATGATATTCTCTCAGACAGAACCAGTGCCCCTCAGAAGCCTCTTCTGAAAGCAAAGTTCCTGTCGTCTTCACAGCAGCCAGCAAGAAATCAGGACAGGTTTGGGTGGCTTGTCACAGAGGGAAGATGATCTGCAGGATACAAAGGGGACAAAATGATGAGTGTCAGCCGAGCAGCCATTAGATGGACTGCAAGTATCTCTCTAAGTGTCTCAAAGAAGCTGTTCATTAACCCACCACACAAGTGTCAGGTCAAGCAGCATCCTCTCCAGCACTAAATTGAGTTTCCATCAACCAATGAGCATTTATTTGAAAAACAAGCACCAGCCTCCACCAGCTCCACAGAAGCGTAATTACACAGCATGAAAAATTTAAGAAATGAGCAGCTAATTATTGCAGACTTAATGACTCACTCAGTCTCTCACTAACTGCTTCCCTCCTCTGAGGTCTGATAAAGCCATGGCAAGAGATGGCTTCACTTCTGATGAGGACAGCGGTGTTATGTTATCTTTCCTGCTGGAATGTCTCGCTTCTGATGTTTGCAATTTCATAATGATAAGTTTTATGGAATTCTGAGCCAGATATCAGATCTCGGCTGTATTTGCTTTTCACCCATTTAATAATAACATTCAGGGGATTGAGAAAATTCGAAAATGTGGATGATTTGAATACAGTTCTTTTGCTCAAACAAAAAGAATCCGACAAAAATCTCATTATTTTCTTAATGAATAAAGGAGACTCTATAATATCTTTGTTTTTTTTAATTATTGTTGAGCATTTGAAACATTATTAATCTGACCTGGTAAAATGGATTATACATGAAATAAAAGAACTAAGGGTAGACTCGATGTTGACAATAAGTAAACAAACACAGCCCTCTAGTGCTCAATGAAAATAATGAATACAAATTAAAAATTATACTTGATTTTTTATTTATTATGAGGGCAAAACTAATTCACTAAATGTTATTTAACATGAATTATGCAACGAGGGAAACAATATTTTGAAACAAAAAACATATATAAGGAAAAGGTATACATATATATATATATATATATATATATATATATACAGTATATATATATATATACAGTGGGGCAAAAAAGTATTTAGTCAGCCACCAATTGTGCAAGTTCTCCCACTTAAAAAGATGAGAGAGGCATGTAATTTTCATCATAGGTATACCTCAACTATGAGAGACAAAATGAG